GCCTAACTAATAGGCAGTTTGGAGGGGGGAGGGGGAGAAGTGAAAGAAATTGTAATTTCCACCCCCTGGGCTGAATCTGCTCAGCTGAGGGATGCTACCCTCAGGAGGAGAAGGCTGAAGAAGCAGCAGGAAACTCCAGCAGCTGAGCAGCTCCCGGCAGTGTAGGGATGTTCTCCATCCCCAGCAGGTCTAATCTGTGGGATTCCAGCTTTCCCTGCCAGAAACTTCCATCATTTCTGCTGTGCTGAGCTCCAGAGCAGGGTGCTTTGGCTGCAGCACCCTGGCACGGCAGTGGCAAGGAGGAGCTGAGGACAGAGAGATTGTTGAAGTTTAAAAAACAGACGATCAAAAACCTCAGTTGCTACTTTGTGGAAAGCTCTCTGGCCAAAGAGGAGCTGTTTACAGAAAGCAGAAGTTTGTAAACCTTGGATGTTGCAACAGGAAATCCATGCTGGGCAAACAAGTTGAGCTGCCTGCAGTTAGCCAAGCAGGCAGTGCTGATCCATGACTAACGCTCCTGAAAGGCCGAGTTCCTGGCTGTGAGAGGAGAGGACTCTGGCGTAGAGCTGCGGTGGGTCAGAGACGAAGGAGTTGGGAGGGGTGGCTGCTGGCAAGGACAGTCAAACATGCAGAGGGCTTCCAGCAAGCCAGGACAGAAGCTTTTCTTGGCCTGGATCTGTAGAATATCCACCCATAATGAGTGGAGAAGGCAGCAGTTGTGTCCAGTGTAAAAGGATGGGAATACTGGGCTGTGGTTCTCTGGTGGTCTTGAAGAGAAAGCGTTTCTGCCTTCAGATGGGTTTGGGTTTGTGTGTGGTGGAAGATCACTCAGCAGAATTCTTTGTTCATCATTCCTTTTTAGTGGCAGTGCAGTGTGAGAAATGTAGCTCCCCTAGATCCCTACAATTGCTTTGACTTCCTTATCAGCTGGGGACTTTGGCTTCTAGTGCTACTTTGCGCATGAGGATTGCTCTCTCCTTGCTGATGGGAGCTCTTGATGCACGTGTGCAGACGTGGCCGTGCCAGGTCTCTCCACAGTCACGCTAGCTGTCCCTCAGGAACTGATTCGTGTTCCTGTAAGTGTACGGGCTGTTGCAAGACAGAGGAGCATGAGCAATTAGAGTATTCTCCCCAGCAGCCCAGGATTGTAGCTCGTAACAAAACCTTACTAAGTTCTTTAATGCCCTGTGGGAAAGGAAAACCCATTAGTACTCGTGGTGAGTCCCAGGGTACAAACCCTCATGCCCTTTGCCTATACTTCTGGCAAAGTTTTGGTGTTTTTTTTCCCTCTCCTCCCTTTCTTCATTCATGTAACTGCCCCAGCTGATTTCCCTTCTCTGCTCTCCCCCCCTCAGCTGATTTTGCAGAGATAACTGGGTAGCAGAGGACACACCTTTTTTTCTTCATACTTGCATAGCGATCCCTGGATCCAAATTATTTCCCACCCTTTTTTTTATGAGTAGGTCCTGCATCCAGTCCCCAGTCTGCATTCTTGACCACTACTGTATGCAGCCGCAGTCAGTCGACTTCCATGGTTGAATGGAATGCATAGAAAACCAGCATAAAATACTGTAACTTGCTATGCTTTAACTGCTTTGTAAACTCCTTACAGTTATTTCCTTTCACTCAGTCATTATTCTTTTTTTTTTTTCCAGATGAATTTTTCCATCACCCGTTCTTGGATGCAAGTGCCTCTATGAAAAAATGTAAGTGTTGCATTTTTGATTACGACTCTTTGAACCACAACATGACTTCCTTTGCTGCTAGTCCAAAAGGAAAGAAAAAGTCTGCTTTATGTTTTCCTAGTGGCTTAGGCAGGGATTTGGCATTTATTACTGTGTCATGTCCAGATTTTGCTATCGAAATGTGTTTGATTTTGCTGAGTTATCTTCAAAGGGATGATTAGGGAGCTATTTAGAAACCTAAAGTAGCAGTAAATGCAGCTTTGAAATGTGTTCAGCTTCTCTGTATGAAGCGCTTGGCCAGCGGGGATGCTCGTAGGTAAACAGGATTAGGCAGCATGATCTTGGTGGTGTTCCGCATCTGTAGGACAATGCAGGGCAGTGGATGGTGGAAACTGGCACTCCTGTCCCTGCTTGCCAGGTGGCAGCTTCAGGTTGGCTGTGCAAAATGACAGGCTCTGGTCACCAAATCTTGTTTCAGCATTTACCTCCAAACTCTTGATAAATCTTGTTTTAGAAGGGTGAAGTTTGCGTACTCTGTGAGAACTGGCCAAAACAAAGACAGGTTTCAGTTGAAAGCTCTTTCTTTCCTCTTTTGATTCAAAACTTGTGAAACTTTCCAACCACATGTACTATGATTCAGGGGTTTGGTTTTGGTGGAAAACGATTCAGAATTGCTTCTAGTGTATGGGATATAATAGTCGTCTGGCCAAGAGACTTGGTTTAGTGGAATTGTGTATGGTTGTCTTCTGGAGGGATCTTCCTGGGCATTTAATCTCCTGAGTAAATGATAGAGCCAAGAATTTTCATCAGTGGCTGATCTGGGGTGCCCAGTGCGGGGGCTGGAAGTCTCAAAGGACGCATGTCCAATGCCGTCTGCGCACAGAGCCCCTCTTGGACATATGCCATGGGTGAATGCCCCTTGTCTGATGTCCACACAACTCTAGACAGTCTCTTGCTTTCCTGGGTCCAGAGCAGGACTTCGCAGTTGTTCCTGACGCAGATTTTAACTGTGTACTTAGGTGACCGTCCTGCGGGCAAGAAACGACGCTTCTGGTTTAGGGGAGCTTGCAAGCCAGCCAGGCCCCTATCTCCATCCGCGCCAGCAAGATGCAGGGCGAGTCCTGTAAAACGGGAGTGCTCTGCGGGCAGGGAAGGACTCTGCCCGGGTAGGACTGCTCCTAAGCCTGCTCAGCTCTCAGCACCTGCTGTACCGCTGCCATGTGGGGAAAGCCCTTTGGAGTCTGATCGCCCTGTGGGCAGAGGACCCCTCCATCGTGACATTCTTGCATGCCCACCGGCTCATCTCTTGCCTCCGGCAGTTCCGTTGCTTTGTTGGACAGGGGAGCAGAAAACCTCCTGCAAACAGGAGAGGGTTCTCCTGGCCTGGCCTCAGTTTCCAGCTTCTGCGCATTTGCTGTGCAGAAACCAGAGGCCCCGTTATGAGCAGGGGACTGTAGCTTGGCCTTTGCCCCCGGCTGCACCGAAGCTGATAGTGTGGGGTCAAGGCCCAATAAAAAGAGCACCTTTACAGGCAGGTAAGGACTACACAAACTCCAGACCTCTCTGCTGCCCTGCTGGTCCTCACCTCCGGGCATACGTCAACAGCCTGGAGTCCTGTCCAGAGAGGAGAGACCGCTGCTGGCTTTGAAAAGATGAGGTGAGAAATATGTCATCATTGCTGGAGGTCCTCAGGTTGTTGCATGCGGAAATCTGCTAGCAGAGAAGGTGGTTCTCTGTAGTCCACTGTGGAGGTCTCTGCTACTGCCAGATGGCAGCGATGGATGAAGGCCTTTGGGAAGTGCGGTGAAGAGCCTAGAAGAGAAAGGCTGCATGTGGGAATGGTGGTCCTTTTGATTTGTGAATAGGCGAGAGAAGAGCCAGTGTCTCAGCAAAGGTCTGGGTTATGGTGCTCCCGATAAGAAAACCTCACCCGGGATGTATGGAATGCTGCTTAACATGGTCACATGGTTAGTATTTGCACAGTTTTAGCTGGAGCAGATAACTTAGCAAGGTTGCAGTTGCTCAGGGGCGAGCTCCCCTGGCTTCACGTGCACAACTAAGATGAGTCCAGAAGTTTATTGTGCTACTTCACCTCAGCACGTGGCTCAGCATCAGGAGTGTAGGAGGTATCAAAGAGGAGAAGAGAACCTAAATGTATGTAAATCTATGGGACCTGATGAGATGCATCCTGGAGTCCTGAGGGAATTGTCTGATGTAGCTGTCAGGCCACTCTCTGGCAGTCAGGTGAAGTCCCTGGTGACTGGAAGAAGGAAAACATTGTGCCTGTTTTTCAAAAGGGTAGGAAGGATGACCCTGGGAACTACTGACCTGTCAGCCTCACCTCTGTGTCTGGGAAGATCATCAAACAGATCCTTCTAGAAGCTGTGCTAAGGTGCATGGAGGACAGAGAGGTGATTCGAGACAGCCAGCATGGCTTCACAAAGGGCAAGTCCTACCTGACCAACCTGGTGGCTTGCTAAGATGGAGTGACTGCATCGGTGGACAAAGAAAAGCAACAGATGTCATCTGTCTGGACTTCTGTAAAGCCTTCAACATGGTTGCCCACAACATCCTTCTCCCTAAATTGGGAAGATACGGATTTGATGGGTGGACTGTTCCGTGGATAAGGAATTGGTTGAAAGGTCGCAGCCGGAGGGTAGTGATCAACAGCTCGATGTCCAGGTGGAGACAAGTGGAGTCCCTCAGGGGTCCATGTTGGGAATGGTGCTGCTCAATGTTTTCATCAATGACATAGCAAGATGGAGTGCACCCTCAGCAAGTTTTCAGATGACACCAAGCTGAGCGGTGCAGTTGACGTGCCAGAAGGACTGGATGCCATCCGAAGAGACCTGGACAAGCTGGAGAGGTGGGCCCATGTGAACTTCATGAGGTTCAACAAGGTCAAGTGCAAGGGCTTGCGTCTGGGTCGTGGCAACCCTCAATATCAATACAGGCTGGGACATGAAGGGATTGAGAGCAGCCCTGCTGAGGAAGACTTGGGGGTACTGGTGGATGAAAAGCTGGACATGAGCCACCAATGTACACTCGCAGCCCAGGCAGCCAACTGTATCCTGGGCTGCATCAAGAGAAGCGTGGCCAGCAGGTCGAGGGAGGTGATTCTGCCCCTCTACTCCACTCTGGTGAGATCCCCCAGGAGTCCTGCATCCAGCTCTGGAGCCCCCAGCACAAGAAAGAGATGGAGCTGTTGGAGCGGGGCCAGAGGAGGGCCACAAAAATCATGAGGATTGGAGCATCTCTGCTGTTAGGAAAGGCTGAGTGAGTTGGGGTTGTTCAGCCTGGAGAAGAGAAGGCTGTGGGGAGACCTTATTGCAGCCTTTCAGTACTTAAGGGGGGCCTGTAGGAAAGATGGGGACAATCTTTTTAGCAAGGCCTGTTGTGACAGGACAAGGAGTAACGGTTTTAAACTGAGGGAGGGTAGATTTAGACTGGATATAAGGAAGATGCTTTTTACAGCAAGAGTGGTGAAATGCTGGAATGGGTTGCCCAGAAGTAGTGGAGGCCCCATGCCTGGAAACATTCAAGACCAGGTTGGACGGGGCTCTGAGCAACCTGGTCTAGTTGAAGATGTCCCAGCTGATGGAAGGGGAGTTGGGCTAGATGACCTCTAAAGGTCCCTTCCAACCCAAAGCATTCTATGATTCTAAGCTTTCTTTCTGTATGAGAGTGTTTTGCAGACTGGGGGGATGTGGTGGGCTCCATACCCCTGCAGGCAGATCTGCCCTTGGGTGATGGGGCAGAACGGGAGAGCTGCCACCAGCGTGTGGAGCTGAGCACATCACTGGGCTCCGGAACCTCATCAAGACTGGGCCAGAGCTGGTCAAAACACAATGCCTAAAAATAAAGTGAGAGCCATCGGCTGTTCATTCTGTGTGGATTAATACAATGAAATTTTGGAATTATGAAAAACTGGGGAATCCTCAGATGTGGATAATTCTCGAAGTGAATAATTTTCAAGTTGGCGAGGGGACTAATCAAAATAAATTCACATGTTTTTCGAGACACTTCAGCAGAGTGAACATTTCTGTCAAATCTTTAAAGACGGCATTTCTGACCCGCTCATCCTCTCCTCTGAGGTTTCAAGGGATGGTTGTTCTCATCTCCCGCCTTCAGTGACGCAAGGACATGAGTCTGCTGCCATCCAGGGTGTACCCCACTGCCTGGAGAGTGGCTTTAGGGCCTCGTGGGCTTTAACTCAACCATACACTTTTCTTTTAGTTCGTTTATTTATATTTTACTTTATATTGTGGGTTTTGTACCTGTGACTAAGCATGTACTTTAGATGTGGAAAAATTTATTAATAAAATCTTTAAAATACTGTGTCTAGTCAGACTGTCGTCTGTCTGCAGCCAGGTCTGATCAGCATATGGTATGGGGCAGTGTGTTACAGTAACAATGCATGCGAAGGCATAATTAGACGCTTGTGCAAGTCTTCTCTCAGTAAACACATTGTAATTGGTACCCGTGCAGGATATTTTGGAGGGCTTTTTGCGCTTGCCGCTAATGAATGCTAAGCTGGTACCTTCTTTACGCTGAGTTGGGAGAGCATGAAACCTGAGCAGTTAGGGTTCAGAAGCGTGCAGGAGGGTCAGCGTCTGGAATATCTGTCAGGTTTAACTTGACTTTTACCATCTTTATAATCTTACCCTACATAAAATACTCAAGTAAAAACTAAGAAAAAAATCTGACTTCTGCATATGAAAGACTTTAATGATGCAAACTTGAAGTCTAAACAACAGCTTATTCTTTGGGCAAGTTACTTCAGTTTTTGCACTCAAACTATTGCCTCGTCAGAGGCTGCAATTAAATACCTTTTTGATGACTGGTTTTAATTGAATCCAGATAGTCACAAAAATGCATCTCTCCAGGGTGTGTAAAACTGGGTTCCAAATAAAGCTTTTATATAGAGCTTGAGGCTTGGCTATTTTTAGGGCAACCAAGCCCCTGGTAGGATGATGTGTCAGAAGTGATTTTTGCAGGTGTAGGATCCAGTATCAAGATCCACACAGCTGGAGCACAGGCTTGCCTTTACAGAGCCCAGCTCTCCCATTTGAAACCAGTTGGTGTTGGTTACGCAATGTACAGGATGACTGTTTTGTTGCTGGGACAAGTTGGAGAGGACAATTATGAAAACAGACTTATTTACATTACAATTACAATCCAGCAATTTTTGGATTTGGGTGGGGGCCTACAAACCATGTTAACATTCCCCGCATTGAGCTGAAAACATGATGAGCCAAGTGTTTGCACCCTTTTTAATTTCTAACTGGGAGTGCCTGGGTGTGCGGAGGAGGTGGAAGCAAGCATCTTGCTTTCCAGCTGTCCTATGTGGCTGACGCTGAAAAATGCCCCAGCAGGGACATGGGGGTCAGGGAGGGTTTGTCAGAGCCAAACCTCGTGGTTCTGCATGCGCAGAAGTCCAATTTTAGTGTCAGGACCTGCTGAGTTAGACCTCACAGCATTACAGTGTGAATGTGGGGAGTTTTCAGGGTTATATATAAGAATATGATTAATAGAGGCTGTATCTAAAGATGTGCTTCATGCAGATAGTGTTTTAACATGAGTTTCAGATGATAGTGGCAAGGTCTGCCTGCTTATCTTCCTTCCTAGATTAATAATAAGCTGTCCAAAGTAAACAGACAAAAATAGAAAAGTCTCAATTCCAGCCAGATTTAAATCAATAATAAACACAGAACCAAAACAGAGTGGAGGGGACCTTGAGAGAGAACTGAAATGACTTTAACAAAAATACGGATTCCAGGAAAAATGAATGGTGATGCAAGTCTTGCAGCAGGCATCTGTGGATACAGTTAAGAAATCAGTTACCTTTTCTTAAAAGTGCCTTTTCATTAGAGGAAGGTCTGTCTGTACAAGGGTGAATTGTTCTGTAACGGCTGACAGGATAAAAAAGGGGAGAATTTTTGGTGCCCCCCCCTGTCCCCCCCCCTTTTTTTGGGTAATAACT